CTCTCGAGTGCTTATGTCCACAACGCTTGTGACATCATTGTCACCCCGCCGTTTCTCAGGAACCGGAAATTAAGATGTCTATAAAAGAGACCTGCGAGCCAATAGTAGTCATAACCTACTCAAGAATATACAGAGGCAACTGATCAAGTTTTAGAAGACAGTTATTTGAAGTTCATCACTGAGAAAAGAATTGTTGTGAGAATGGAAAGCTTACGAATGAGGATGACAACCGTCTATCTGGCTATCTTGATTCCCTATGCAGTGTTTGCAGCACCCATGGGAGGTACGTGTTAGTTTTTTTGATAAAATGATATATTTTGATGTATTTATCTTCGTAAAAAATGACTCTTAAATCTATTGTCTATGATATTGATTTTGATAATTTCGGTACCAATTCAGAACTAAAGAAAGTACAAGGATGTAAATCGATTCGTAATTATTCAAAATGTTTTCGCCGCTGTTTTAATTTACACCTCTTTTCTGCGAAAGTTGTAATCTAATGCCTGTGTCGAATACATGCATGTATGAGGCAAATATGAACATTCACAATTAAATAACCTAACTGGATTTTGAGAAGTTAATCGAAGACTGGCACTTATGGACTTCCTTGATCAAACCACAAATTGTGGTGAAATACAATTCCGAAAATATTTCTAAGAGACGTAAAATTTAAACAAAGTAATCTAACCTCGCATTAACTTGATCAATGGCCTTCAGTCATGTTTACTTTTTGGGAATTGAAATGTTTTCTCCGCGTCCAATGGCTCACCCCAAAAGCAACAATAGGACTCCAATTTCACAAGAATGATTTCACATTTTTGTCTTGATAAGACTTAGCGCGAAATTGGTTTTGGGTCGATTTTTTTTCGATGGTTAGCAATGGGTTTTGGTCGACCTGTGAAATGGGACCCTTGAAGTATTTGACCTGTATACCACTATAATGATTTTTTTCAGTAGGTTTATTTCGATGGTATTTATGAATGTTATGCTCTTTTCAGTCAAACCAAAAGTGGCGGACAACATTCGCTGCATATCTAATAACTTTGAAGACATGATATGTAGTTGGGAAGTGGTCGACAGCGCCCAAATTGCCCAGGACTCTAACTACACACTTCTTTGGACCGTTCAGTAAGTAGTGTGATAGTTTGTCATTAGCTTAGATGATATTGTTATAAAGGTTTTGATGGATAAAAAGGGTAAGGGAAACTATTATGAGTAGCTTCCGTCATAAAGCACCCCCGCTTTTTAAGACGACAAACTAAATTATTTATCTTCAGGGAAGCGACATGTAGTTGAAAATTTAATACAAGGAAACTCAACAAACCAAACGAATGCCAAGTAGTAACTGGTGAATGCCCCAGACGCCTACTCACACCTGTAACATGTACATGTAGCAGGTGGCCGTTTAAATTTGAAAAAGAAATCGACCAGGGAAAAGAAACAGCCGGTGAAGTAGCTTAAGATAGCGAAACCCCTGGGTCAGGGTATCATGTGTGAGGTTCTCTTGAAATCATGCATGCCGTAAATTTTTTCACGTCGAAAAGAATCCTAGAGCGCTCTTGTTGCCCTTAATTTTCACCGAGTTTCGGATTTCTGAATAAAGTCACCACATGAGTTTTAAAAATTAGGTGGAGTTTGCACCAGGAAACGTTACAAGAACAATTGATCGCTAGTCTACATATTTTCCTACTCTTCAAACAAGATCTTAACACATTGAACAGAGATTTTATTTTATCAGGTGTTTTATAGACTACAATGAATCAGCCACAATCACGAATTCATTTTAGTGACGCCGAACGATCGTCATACGTTAACACATATACAGAATGTTTATATCCATCCAATCATAAACATGTACTTTTTGATTGGCACATTTTAACTAGATCATTATGCATTGATCTGAATTGAACTGAATTGAATTGAATTGAATTTTATTATTTCAGTCCAGGGTCACTGAACCTGTGCCCACACACAAAAGGAAATACCTGCAGGTTTCAACAGGATGACGGCATAGACAGTTTCAAGGCGGGGTTCATCTATTATGTCATCGTCAGAGGCACCCATCCCGAACATGGAGAATCCTTTTCAAGCTACGAAATGGTCAACACGTATGAAATCGGTAGGAAGATCTTTCAAATACCGTTTTATAAGATATGACACTGATATGGTATCTCAGGCGTCTGACGTACGCGCAAAGAGCATAAAGATATATTGCTACATGTAGGTCTCATGCACTCATGTAAAACTGCTAAAACAACTGAAACATTACAATAAAAAGAACTTTTTTTTCAGTGAAACCAAAACCAGTAAGAGAGTTGAAAACTTTGGACAAGGGCCAGTCGCATTTGCAGTTGTCGTGGACGCATCCCGAGAATCTAAGTTCAAATAGACTGTATTCTGGGCTTATGTACAATGTCTTATTGGAGAGCGAACACGGTACAATAAAGGTAAGGGGACATTTTATTACATTTTACTGTCTTAATCGAACGCTAGATTTGAGTAAAGCATCAGTACAACACTTTCAGTGTGGCGCATAGTGATAGTAGTGTTAGTCATGCAGGAACTTACTTTTAGTTGAAGGAATTGAGATCAATCCGGATGTGATCAAAGGGTAAAACAATTGAAATATCTGCTTTGCCTTGGACAAAAAAGAAAAAATAGAATCACAAAATGCATAGCAGTGTTCAAAACGGACCCACGTTGGGATGTGGTTGGGATATCCCACGTTACTGGTTTATGACTTACGACCTTTAAATGCTTGTGATAATTAATTACACATGAACCTTATAACGATACGCCTATGTATTTATTTCAGGAAATAGAAACGCGTCAAGAAGGAGCAAGAGTAGATGGTTTGATTCCCAACACACTGTATAAAGTATCTATTAAAGCAAAACCAGGTCGTGGGGGCTACTGGAGTGAGGCTGCACGTATAACAACGACCACGTCCTAAAATGGAAACCCAAGTTCTTGGTAAGTTGACATACGTATGAAACCGTTTTAACCACGCGGAGAGTTTTGGAAATTTTGCAGTGGTGATTTTTCCTATTTTGAGCAAATACTTGATTTACGGCAAGTTTTACTGGTCTTCTCTCTCCGAATAGGGAGTTGATATATGTCTATATTTCTGATATTTCTTCTAAAATATTAGATTGAGAAGCATATTATGTTTATATATTTATTAAGTTTCCATTTTTTGTAGGGCATTTCATCCGTCCAAGTTATCTGAACATTTGCTCAACTATGTCAAAACGTGGTGCAGTGTTTCATAGTCTAAGCAGACCCCCCTCGACGTGTGTGGATGAGGACAGAGCATTAGATGCAAAATTTCTAGATAGTTCTGTTTTGGGTCCAGCTTAACTAGATGGAGATGCGACAGTGAACTGTTGATAGCCTTTTGCAAACTGACATCACTTAAATGTGTGATATGAACATCTTTTATATAAAAAGAAAAATGTACGTCATTATACCCCTTCTTATAGGGAGGTTGTTGGCCATCATGTGAACGAGACGCTTTCATTTGCTGTAAAGATGTTAATTCGTAAGAAATCTAGACAGTATTAGTATATGGTCACTTTACAAATGAAAACCAAACGTAAATGTTATTCTGTGGAAAAGGTTAAGCCATAAGCAGAGTAACAACCATCAAGAATGAAAACAAATTAAACGTGCGTATGAGACACTTTTTTCGAAATGTCAATCTGGTTAAAATAATGACAGAAAGAAATTAAGACACTGTTTCTGGACACTTAAACATTACATCATGAACAGTTCATTCTATGAATGATAAAATATGACTTAAGTGAGGTGTTGAAATGAAAGTAGACCAGGATCAAAACATCTGCTTTCTTCAGAGTAATTTTCTGAATTTATATTCGTTGTACATAGTGTATATTCTTATATTTTGTTTGATGACGTTATGAAATAAAATAATTTCCATTATCGGTCTCGTCTTTTAATGAATTTGTATAATCCTACTTGTATATTGACAATCTGTTATGTTGAAAAGAAAAAAAAAAAACAAAAAAAAAAAAAAACAAAACTTCGCTACCAGGCATTGTGAACAAATTGACTTCAGGTTGAAGATAAAATGTGTCAGTGAAATAAACGTGCGTCTCATAATACCCCTTAAGTGCAGTTTAATTTTTTTGTATTAAAACTTGGAAATATTATCCAAGAGGGTTGTTATTTTTAAAACTTTTGTTATTAAAACTGCTTTCCTTACTGAATACGACAATTTCTCCATGCTAGCAAGATGTCAAAGAAGGGATTTCACAGCCAAATNAAAAAAAAAAAAAACGCCTATTGTTAACCAAATCCTACATTTCACCGAGGGGATCAAGGATGTTAGATAGGGGTGGGGCAGCTCACCACGTTGGGTGGACTCTGGAACCTTTTCAAGATTCCAATCCCTTTAAAACAATTTAGGATTCAGAGTAAGAATTACTTTAAGAAAATTGCAACCCATGTTTTCAGTTTATTCATTTAAAGTTTTGAAAAAAAAAAAGCCCCACTTCCTTCAATGTGTCTGCTTTTTAGCATAGTAAGCCTGAGCTGCAGTGGTAGACATTTATCAGTTTAGTCAAAATGTATTGTTATTAAATAGTTGAAAAAAAAAAGAATGCAGTTTCCTACTTTTTGAGGGGTCAGATTGGGCTCTCTAAGGGCTCATTTGCAATGAAACTATGGTTCTATGTAGATTGATCTTACTCCCCGGGACTCTTGCTGAATGCAATCAGATTAACATGCCTCCTCTTGTTTCCAAAGTACTCGTATAAACATCAGCTTTCCTGCATTCTACTCAATGCCAAGAGGAAGCGTGTCAATCTGTTTATCTGATTGCATTCCCTGCAGAGTAAGATCAATCTACAGAGTTTTACTGAGAAAGAGCCCGAAGCATCTCCTAGTTTTTCAGAGGTTTGTTGGATGCTTGTCTTATAAGCAAATCTAGTAATTTCTCATAACAAAGAACATAAACCCGTAGATAAAACATTTACTCCAAAACTTAATGACTGATAATAATAATATAAAAACGGTTAAAAATGTTATCACTGTTTTTAACATTTCCTCCAACTATTCATACTTTTAAGAGCTTATGTAACTTCACAGACATTCTACTGGGTAGGTGTAAAACTAATTTCTTACAGTTATTCAGCCAACTTCACTTTTTTAATCAGTGCATGGCCATTTACATAATCTTGACTACACAAAACCCTTTATATAGCATTTTTATAATATATTATAGGTTAGATATATTTTCTCCAGAATAACACACACATATAATGACAATTATACACAAAGGGGAAGAACAAGAGACTAACTTCCCTGTTGTAAATAAAGTTTTCAAGCTTATGGACAAAAATCCAACACGAAGAGCAGAATAATATAATTTCAATATGAATGGAAAGCAGTGATACAGTAATGGCTCAATCATTTCAACCTGACTTTGAGATACTGTATTTTTTGTAAGAGATAAATTCTTGAAATGAGAACACTCCTATTGAGTGGTAGCAACACAGTGGAAAACCAGACTACCTTAAAGTTTCATTCTATACAGTATAAGCATAAAATTGCTACACAGAAATGAATTTTTTATTATTCTTAAATTAGGTATCTGAAAAATTGATTATTTTTCCCCCGGTTGAAATGATTAAGTCTTTACCGTGACATATATTTTTAAAGAACACATTTACACAAAATATATCAAAACAACATGCAAATGCAGTAAATTTACCATTTGAAAACGTGTACACCTGTAATATTCACAAAGACAGATCTTTGTATTCAGTCTCAAATAAATATTAAAGGTAAATGGAATCCTTGCCTAAAATATATTTACAATCATTTATATGAACTAAAGGACCTTAAAATTGCAGATTTAGTGAGAATATGCTGAATACAAAATATGTCATCATGCAGAAAAATTCAGTGACTTCACAAGAGAAAGGCATTCAACAAGAATATTTCTGCTAGACAATTTATGTCATTTCAGCAACAGGCTGTTGAACACAAAGTAGTTAAACAAATTCATTTTTATGACTCATAAATAAATTATCAGTTTTTTCACAAGTGTTGACACAAAAAATTAAGAAACACAACCCTTTGTGGAAATATTATTACATATATGGTGTTGAACTATTATTTTCTAGCCCATGGTTCTCTAAATAAAAAACATGGAGTATATCATCCTTAAAGCATACAGAATATTTATAGATTTTCAGCAATATATCTAACCTCAATCCATTTGTGTCTAAAATGGCATTCTGTGTAAAGAGAGTGAACAATACAGACTCTTTAATCCCCACCAAAACTTCCAAAGCTTCCACAACTTCCCCAGCTTCCTCCACTGCCCCAACTGTCCAGTGAACTCCAGCTGCCATGGTGACCCCAGCCACCCCCAAATCCCCAGCCCATGCCGTGACCCATCAGTTTACCCGCTCCGTATCCTAATGCTGCACCTCCTAAAAGACCTGGAACATAAGTGACATGGACTTTAAGAACTAGTCAAAATAATCAGGAAAAAAGTTTCAATATTTTCAAAAAGCCAGAATATTTATAATGGGTATCATTGGTTTTAATTTTTTATTTAATGAATTTCAACCTGGTCAGCTAGATTTGTTCCCAAGCTTTATGACAAATATTTTCTACATATAAACTAGGACTAATCCGTTAGTCCGAAGGGTCTATCAATATTTTTCAATTTCAAATGGAATGTTAATGTTTTCTTAAAAAGAAAACTACTTCCATGAATATTCTCCAGGAGACAATTCTCTCAAAAAAGCTATCTACCTGCACCAATCTTTGCAGCATTGCCCCCTAACATTCCCTTCTTCTTCTTTTTTCTATACACTTGTTGTTGACCAGCATATGCTCCCTGGGGGGCACCAGCATAGGCCTGCTGGGGGTAACCTGCAGGAGGTGGAGCATACCCAGAGGGACCTGTTGAATTAATATGCAGTTTTATTTACAGATGCCTTATTCCAAGACCAGATGCACACAAGAAATGCAATCAGATACATGTACACTGGTCTCTTTGTACAGTAACATTTGTGTGCACTGTCATTTGGGTGATATCTGACTTCAGGCAATTCAGAACTGCCTAAATAGTGAGCAATAAAAATTGAGGCGATGGAAGCCTGGCCATGAAACAAACTTGCAAAAATCTGATAAAAAACCAGCCAATCATATCTCACCTTGTGAAAAACCTCACATCAACACTTAAACTAAACATGATCTGCATATTGCTTTTTGATCTTTCAAAAGAAGGATATAGAGACAGATAGATCAGAAAATACAGTTTGTTCATCTATCAAAATATGTGAAACATTAACTGTAGAAAATTATCGAAAGAAATGAGTTTCAGACAGTACCTGGCTGTCCTGGGTAAGGCTGTTGCTGTGGGTAATACTGCTGCTGAGGGTAACCTTGCTGCTGTGGATATGGTTGTTGTTGCCTTGGGTATGCTCCAGGGGGTTGTTGTGGGTATCCCCCAGGGGGCTGTTGTGGATATGCCCCAGGGGGTTGTTGTGGGTATCCCCCTGGAGGTTGTGCTGGGTATCCCCCTGGGGGTCCTGAGGGATATGGTTGTGATGGTTGTGGATATGGTGGGGGTGCTGAGCCTGCTGCTGCTGCCCCTGTAATGGAAAAAAACAGTAAATTTGTAGCATATCCAAAAACAAGGATATGTTTAGAGGTAATGAGCAATTAAAATGTTACAGATGCAAAATGACTGAAATAATATGGAAAAGTTATTTTAATGATTTTAATTTGCAAAAAATAAGACTGCAAACAGTTATAAACCATATTTGACCAATCCGTATTTTAGTTAAATTAAAATTCATATGTGCGCTATTACATCAAAAGACCATTCCATACTGAAAAAAAAAATCATATTAATGGAGTAAAAAATATCTAACAATATAATGATATTTTAGACATGTACCCTGAACTTCATCTAAACTAATCTTATACCTGCTACTGCTCCAAATCCTAGAGGAGCTGCTCCACTGGCTGGTGGCTGGCTAGCAGTAAATGGAGGTGCACTTGGAGCCGTTGCCTGCTGCTGTTGTGGTGGTGGTGGGAGCTGGAAATATGACACAAAGACATGTTTTAAAGCCTATGCTGTATAAATAAATGTAATTTAACCATTTGCCTGTGATCCTGCATCGATTTGACCTATACATTTTGCCATTTGTCAAGAACAATTTCTGTGCTGGTGTGAATCAAAGTATAAATATGGTATGGTTGTAATGACGGGTGACTGAAACAATGATGCACTACGGGCCTTTTTTCACCAAGGTTGTAATGAAAGCTGAGGTGTAATTTTTTTTCACAATAATGATAAGATACCTTATTATGAATATCACACGAAAAACTAAAGAAAAATTGCACTTGTTTTAAACAAATGTGAAAGCAGCCACTGTCTCATTAAATTGTAGAGAGTAGTAACATGAAATATTGAAAGCACCATAGGCACAATATCTGTCAAACCTGTATCAATTAAATTTTGTTCCCTTAAGATTGGTGATGTGAAGGTTTGAAAATTACACCTGTGTTGAAGTACTTACTGTTGATACAATTGCAGACATCCAATCACTGAAATAAAGTAGTAACAAAAATCACTAAATAAATGTAATCAACTATTCAACTTGTATATCATCAATTTTGGATATCATCCTTTTTTTGTTCAAAACCTTTAGTTGTTTTATATTTGCAAGCTCTTAAAGTTGCACTCAGACAAGAACAATTTTAGACTGGGCAGATGTAATTTGAATCAACAGACTACATATACCACATAAATGAAAAGGAATGGGATGATGCAATGTTAAGCTAATTTGCAGTCTTATGCAAATAGTCCAATCTTTAAGTTAGCAGACCTCACCTATACGAATTATAAGCCTTAGGTCTTGTTAACAAATGATATTAAACTAACTAGGTTACTACTGTAAATCTGCATAAATGTTTCACACTGGCTGCTGACACTGAAAAATCTTACTTTACTTCTTGTTGTGAATTACACAGAAACCAATTGATTTTAGCTGTTTTGCTTGGTTCTTGTGGTACTGCTATCAGGCATTCTACCTGTACCCCTGTTGGCCTGTCTGGTATGACACTGGTATAGTTACCAACAGCTAGGAAATTGCATACATTCTAAAATGATAAAAAACCCACATTGTGAAATAATTGAAACTAAATCTTGTTTCATGTAGTGTACAAGGTGCTTGCTAATGGCTTGAAAAATCCTTTCTTACTGGTAACAGATGATTTCTGGTAACTCTAAAAATGTTTATTTTCACTACAACAATTAATATTCATGAAAAGTGACAAAAATGTACTTACATTTAAATAAACACTTCCCTTTGGTGTATGATCACCCTGGTTATTGTAAAATACTAAAGCACTGTCTTTATGTAGTACTACCCATACATTTTTCCATCCTCCACTAAATAAACTCCCTGGAATAAGAGAACCATACACACATTAGACATTTGTTAGAAGATATTATAAGAGAAAGGTATTGACTATTTATGATGAATTAACATATCACACTTTCACACTTGACTTTACTGATGTTTACTTACTTGTAAGAATTAATTATCATTATCAATAAACTGAAGAAAAATTAAATCCAGCTGTGGCTTTCTAAGACAAATAAATTTTCACAAACAGAATCTGAAAACTTCAACAAAATGTTGGCCACTGTACTTACGACTAAATCTCTTCAGCCATCCAGACTTGACTACTTGGGCCATAATTATAATTATTCCTTGGGCAGTTTCTTAAGAAAATACAATGACAGTGTTTACAGTAAAATATTAATTAAAAATAACAACAATATGCAGTAAATATGATAAATACAAGTTCAACCTATAACCTTCATCTTATCCTATCTACACGTAGTATTAAAACACGGTACGGTAAAGTACGGTAAGGAATTCTTAGTGTTGTCCTTTATGATAATCTTTACATGTAGTTATGTATTTTGACCTGGATAATGTAACTAAGAACATGCAATCAAAGTACATGAACATATCCACAACCCATAGTATTCCATTAAGCGCGAAATGTTAAAAACAGGATCTTTATTACTTCAACAATGAACTATTTCCTTAAAACAAATCTTGGGTGTATTCCTGGACTAGTGACATAGATAGTAATGTAGGTGTACCGAGTAGGAGGCTCGAACATTAATCATTATCACGCAATAAAATCCAAGGGAAACTTTCCATACGTTTCTGTAAGTAAAGACACTGATGATAACACGTAAGAAGCCTATAATCAATACATCAACGTACTCACTATATTGTCGTGAATAGATAAACCAAATAAGTCATGATATCCGTTTATGGTCGATTTCTACAGCCTCACCCTGGTTTGTTTTTAAGCGTTTTCTCGCCTTTATTTACTGAAGAGCGCACTACCTGAAGGAATGCAGCGAACACAGATCTGTTTGATTATCTTTTATTCAATTAACATGATTGGCAGCATTTGTTCATTTGGTGACATCAAAGCATATTGAACACTTTTCTTGGAATTTCCATGTCACAATCAGAATTTGTCATCAGACGTAAAGGGCCTCGTGGGTACAATCACGAAAAAAAAAAGTGCAGTACCATGCATTCATCTTTGCAATTACAAATTGGAATGGAAAATATTACTAATCTTCATTTATACCATTACTCTTCTCAAATTAGATCTTAAAGGGTAAGACTACTTTATAACCCTTTACCAAAGCTTTTGCAGTGCAGATCTACTGAAAGCGAATGTCACTTGGAGAAATGGGGGCTCAGGGTACACTTGAATTTTAACACACCATGGTTATAATTTGTCATGAAACGAATTAAAAAAAATCTTCTAGATCAATCATTTATTTTATAAAACTATACAAATATGTATTTATACAACTAATCTTCTTTCACGTGTTTACATAACTACACACTGGTGAAAAAAAGGGGCTTCACACAGAGATGCAGCAACTTGCTTTTCCTTTCACTGCCGCTTTTATAACCTATAAAACATTAAGGCCAGTTTCACATGTTGACTGGACTTACCTAAACCAAAATTAAGATTAAATCAGTGCTGAGAATATTCATCATTTTTTATATGTATGTCTAATTTTAAAACTCTTACACCTTTGTAACTCTTTAAATATGAAAATACTTGACAAATTGGCCACATTTTTGCAAAAAGCACTCCTGATCTGCATTTAAGGTTAAATCTAAAGAAGAGATTTTGGTCTGTATCTTAGAGGTGACTCTGGCCCAAAGCACCAAAATGTTTTACTCTGAGATTTCCTTAAACTGAAGTACAATAGCAATTTTATCCATGACATACCATTTTCTTAATCAGGAATAAAACAAGTTGCGACATACCAAGCTTGAGTCATACATCTAAATTTTTTTTTTTTCCGACCCATCAAACTGAAACATTTGTGCAGTACCTTAGTTTAGCAGAACTCCACTTTGATTACCATCAGACTTGGACTTTTAAAATTTCATTGGCAAACTCTGATTGATGATAATTATATTTTTGTACTATACTTAGTAACATGTATTTTATTTGTGGAATAACTTCTTTGAACAACAATATTCAATTAGGTTAAAGTAGTTTCCTCTCAATAAGCAATTCTAAATAAGTTTTAAACTTCCATCTGTTTAATAAACAAGGCTATAGCATTTGCACTTGACAGTTGAAGATCTTCTCTTGAATATCATCTGATGTAAAGACAGAGTTGCTGCTCCAAAGTTTCTGCATTCTTGGCCAATGATTTCCATGGAGTAATGTTGGTAGTTAATTCTACGGCTTGCACCATAAGAGATTTCTTCTGTTTACTCAACAGAACTGAAAATAAATAAAATCAGTCTCAAGCCTAAAGCTTTCATTCCACATATCTTTGAAAAGACGAAAAGTAAACAGGAGAATTATTAAGCACTACATGATCTACAAGAAGAGCTGTAGGATTTACTTTAATCTCACGAAAGTGCTCTCAAATTGGAAACTGTCTCAGCAATGGTGAATATTTTAATTTTACATTTTGAAATTCATTTAACAATATAATTACTGGAACTTTTTGAAATAGCTTACTTATAAGAAAACAAACAAGCTTCTATTTAAAAACAAGGCAGCAAAGCTGTCAAATGTACAGACAAAAAGCAGGAAATAACTATGCACAAAATAGGCTACTGTCAATTCTGATGCAAAAGTACATTATGTTAAACTGCAAATTCAACATCAAATTTTAATTATGCTCAACAGGTAATACCAATGTAAGTAAAATGTGTAACAAGCATAAGGCTTCAGGCCCATGGGAGTTCAAGTTCACACTTTGAAAATGTATAACTTCCAGAAAAAGAAGCCAATTAGACTACTTTTCCAACCCAGGCTGCATTTTAGTCCTGCATTTCTTTTTTGAACATTTGGCAATCATAAGTAACATGGTTTTCCCATAATGGTCATCATGGCAGCAGCACCCATAATTGTTTTCTTCTATTCTGATGCAATATTACATATTGGTTAACAGCATAATGACCGTCAATTTTTAATAATAAAATATACGTATCATGGATTTTCAGAAAATGTGACTAGCATGGGT